TGTCTCACGGTATGGAAAGGTACGCTGCTGTTATTTTCCCCAACCGGTTGAATTTTTGCATACACCCACAGGAGAGAGAGAGGTTGGTAATTCCTTCACGCAGACCAAGAGATCCGTTTCCCCAACTATGCTGCATCTACATAGCGGGAGGGAAAGATTTTTTTTTTAAAAGAAAAAAAAAAAGAAATTCTGACTCATTCACACACTATCGTTTTTATTAAACACACTCAAGTCATCTGCAATCTGGTTAGGAACTCCCAGGTACTAGAATAAACTGCTTGGTAGGGTTTATTTATTTATTTTATTTTTTCAGAAAAAAAAAGGAGGGAGGGGGAGAGATAACAGAGCGGGGGAACGATGGTGGGAGAAAAATGAAATTAACCAGTGGAACAACCTGCCTCCAGAAGCGGGGAATGCTCCAACAATGGAAGTTTTTAAGAAGAAACTGGACAGCCATTGATCCGAAATGGTATAGGGTTTCCTACCTGAGCAGGGGTTGGACTAGATGACCTCCAAGGTCCCTTCCTATTATTATTATTATTATTATTATTATTATTATTATTATTATTATTATTATGGATCATCACACAGTCAGCCAGATGTTCAGACTGGATTTGGCATTTTTGTCTACCTATCGAGTCCTTACCCAGGACCTGGGATAGGCAGATGTGGATGTTTGATGGTATTACAGGTATCGTCGCAGGATGGAAGCAGTTCCTAGTAAGGCCGCCTTTTGCAATTGACTAATAGTGAATTTGTCAATGCCAATGTATTATTATTATTATTATTAAAAACAAGGAAAAACAATAAAAAACCCAGGACAGAACAGACTAACATGTCTTCCAGTCCATGTTTCCTCCTTTTTATCAACCAGCACAAAAAGTCTCACTGAGATTCCAAATTCCTAATTGTGGAACTACAACAGATCTGGGAAGAGCCACGTCCAAACTCTTTTGCTGTCGTTGTCTGCCCTCCCGGAGGTCAATTGGAAATTAGAAATCAAATGTAAGTAAGCCTATACCATGGACACGATACAACAGCATTGTTTTATTTTGAAGGCGATTACTACTTTTTTTTTCAATTTACATATGTCCATGTGTGTGTTTGTGCATGTGCATGTGCCTATGCATCTTCACAGCCCAACTGGTTGGGCCCTTCAGAACACGTCTGAGTTTTTCATGTGGTCCCTTGGAAAAATTAATTGGCCACCCCTGAACTAGAAGTATATTCCTCCTTGCATCTGCTGAAAACAGCTGATATTATACATGGTTATGAGGGGTCCTTGGTGCTCTCTGAGCTTGGTTGTTTTCTTGCAGACGTTTCAGTACCAAACTAGATAATATCATCAGTGCACTGATGATGTTACGTAGTTTGGGTAATGAAACATCTCCAAGAAAACCACCAACCTCAGAGAGCACCAAGGACTCATTGTTCAACCCACAGTTCCAACACATTTTCTCCTTTATTGATAAATGGTTATGACATACATATAATCCTTGATGTACGACCATTGGCTTACTGATCATTCAAAGTCATGCAAGCACTAAAAAAAGTGAGTTATAACTAGCCCTCCCATTTACGGCAGGGTCCTGCGGTCACAATTCAGGCGTTTGGCAACTTGGCATGCAGTTCTGGGGTCACATAATCACCATCTGTGACCTTCCTAGCTGGCTTTCAAGAAGCAAAGTAAAGCAAGTTGGGTTCGCTGAACAATCACGTGATTTAATGACCACAGGAAAAAAAAAAGGGAGAAAATCAGATATGATTATGTGATGAAGCACTTAACTGCATTGCTTAGTAATGGACGTTCCAGCTCAATTGGCGTTGTATGTCAAGGATTCCCTGTAATCAGATAGTTAATTAAGAGCCATGGTGGCGTGGTGGTTAGAATGCAGTACTACAGGCTAATTCTGCTGACTGCCGACCACCAGCAGTTTGATTCTCACCGGCTCAAGGTTGACTCCGCCTTCCATCCTTCCGAGGTCGATAAAATGAGAACCCAGATTGTCAGGGGCAATATGCTGACTCTGTAAACCGCTTAGAGAGGACTGTAAAGTGCTATGAGGCAGTATATAAGTCTAAGTGCTACTGCTATCAATGTCACTCCCAAGGCTCTCCATGAGTCCATCTCTCCCCCCCTCCCAGAAACTTGGCATGAGCCCCCCTTTTCCCATCTACTCTCAGCTCTTTCTGATTCAGCCAAGCCAGGGCTAAGAAATGTCATCCTACACGGGGTAATTTTAGCCCCATCAGACAAATATCTCTATCAGGCTCAGACAGATGGTGACCTGTAAGGAAAGCAGAGCACCAATGAACCAAGTCAGAGGCTTGCCTGCAGCTGAAAATAATTAGGGATCGCTGCAGGGGATCCAATCTGATGGACGAGCGAGTGCCAAATTGCATACTGTTTCTTGGACAGCACTGAGCACACCCTGACTGTGTCCACACCTTTCACACTTAAGCAAATGGACTGCTCAATTTTACGCAGCTGAAAAAAGCAACTAAAGGCCTGAAGCCGATTCGGTATCCTGTTAAAAAAAAAAAATAGCACACAAGGGCAACATTTAAGATCTTCCAGATAGGTTCAACAATCACAACAATTCATCCTGAATGTTCTAGCACAGGGGGAAGCAACCTTGGCTCTTTTTTGACTCGTGGACTTCAACTCCCAGAATTCCCGAGCCAGCCACGCTGAGGGGAAAGGGAGAATTTCCAAGCTGAGCCATGCTGGCTCAGGAATTCTGGGAGTTGAAGTCCACGAGTCATAAAAGAGCCAAGGTTGCCTACCCCTGTTCTAGCAGGATAGCTGAAATGAGAGTCTGCTACTAAGTGAAACAGTTGTTAAGGAAGTTTTGTTCCATTCTCTTGTCACAGTTGTTAAGTGAATCACTGCAGTTGTTAAGCTAATAACACAGTTGTATAAGCGAATCTGGCTTCCCCATTGGCTTTGCTGGTCAGAAAGGGGATCGATCCCATGATCCCGGAACACTGCAGGCTAGTTGCCAAGTGTCCAATTTTGATCACACCACCATGGAGATGCTCAACTGTTATAATCGTGAATCTCTTTTTCTGTGCCGTTGTAAACTCTGAATGGTCACTAAACTTTAAGTAGAAAACTACCTATACTTGCAACCTGAATGTTCAAGGACAAGGCAGATACACCTCAACACCTAAGTATTAAGGATGTAGGTAAACCAAACTAAGGGCTCCAGTACTCTTTTCCTGCCCCTTCCCTCCTGTTCTTCAAGCAGCTTTGCTTATATCTGAACACACGTTTCAGACATTCCCAGAAACCTATTCATGGCATAATGGCTTCACCACCAAACAATTTGCTATGATCAGCTGTGACAAGTTGCTTGATAGACAACAAGTGGACTGATTAACCTTTGAGCGGCGTAACTCAGCTTTAAACAGAGCAGGGTGGGTTGTCTTTTCAGTGCGACATGTCTGTGTGGAGCTGGCAACCTGATCTTAAACGTAACAGAACACTGTAATTGCAATGGCATCCTCGGCTAAGACAACCAGGTGGCGCCTATCTGACATCCATGCTTTTTCCAAGGCCTTTAAGTCCATTTTACTTCAGCTTGATCCAGCTTGGCACATTTGGAAAAGCCTTCCATAACCGAAAGATATCTGAGAGCCTAGGGAGGTTCTGGATGTAATCAATAGGAATGTCTCTACTGGAATAACAGAGTTGGAAGGGACCTTGGAGGTCTTCTAGTCCCACCCCCTGCTCAGGCAAGAGACCCTATATCAGGAATCTTCAAACTTGGCCCTTTTATGACTTGTGGACTTCAACTCCCAGAATTCCTCAACCAGCGTGCCTGGCTGAGGAATTCTGGGAGTTGAAGTCCACAAGTCATAAAAGGGCCAAGTTTGAAGACCCTTGCCCTATATCATTTCAAACAAATGGTCGTCCAATGTCTTCTTAAAAATCTCCAGTGTTGGAGCACTCACAACTTCTGGAGGCAAGTCATTCCACGGGTTAATTGTTCTCACCATTACGAAATTTCTCCTTAGTTTTAAGTTAATTCTCTCCTTGATTAGTTTCCATCCATTGCTTCTTGTCCTTCCTTCAGGTGCTTTGGAGAATAGGTTGACCCCCCTCTTATTTGGGGCAATCCTGAAATTATTGGAAGACTGCTATCACATTATCCCCACTCCTTCTTTTTATTAAACAGACATACCCCATTCCTGCAAACACTCTTCAGATGTTTTAGCCTCCAGTCCCCTAATTGTTGTTCTTCTCTGCACTATTTTTTTAATAGGGTGGCAACCAAAACTGGATGCAGTATTCCAAGTGTGGTCTTACCAAGGCATTATAAAGTGGCATTAATATTTCACATGACCTTGCTTCTATCCCTCTCTTAATGGAGCCTGGGACTGTATTGGCTTTTTGCAATTGCAGCATGACTGGGAAGGATGAGAACTGCAGTAGGGTTCATATCAATAGAGGTTCTCAACCATCCTAGATCATGGTTGTCCCAAAAGTGCTTTTTTCAAAAGGCAACTGGACTTTCTTGGGGTTTTTTTCCTTTGAAAATGTCTTCCTTCTCATCCAAGAAGCAAAACATATCTTTGGTGAAGCTGGATTCCTACAGCTAGGGAACCAAAGGTTAGACTGGGCTACAATGGAGTTGACTAATTTGTGTTTCACCATATATTGTGGGAACCCAGCCATTACCTTTGCATTTTGGGCAAACCCACAATTGCGGCTTAGACAATCACATTGGTTTGGGCACTGCACACTTTACAAAAGCAGCTTTTTCTCTTTCATGTAGGTTTACCGAACTGTGTGAATTCTGTCAGAGCAGAAAACTGGTCCAGTCACATTATCATGCTAATCTACCTTCCAAAGTTATTCTTAGATGTACATACTGGCTGCTTTTAACTCCTTAAAGGAACAGATGTAGGAATACATCTGAATCTCCCTCAGGGTAAAGCTAATGAAGTGATAAACAAGGGTGGGTGATCAGCAAAGAAGAACTTGAATTAGTTACCTCGTATTCCTATTTTCTTCTCTCCTCCAAAACATTTGCATCACAATTCGCAGGTGCTCCATTTTGTTTCTCCTTTTTATGCCAATCACTCTCTGGCTTATTTCCATTTTCCTTGGCTTCAGAATGGAATCCTTTCTTTCTTCTGTTTCTTGTTTTTCTCTAAAAATGTTATAGTTGCTGGTCCATTCCATCCACATGCCTCTTATGATCATTTTGAAAAGGCTGACACAAACATCCATTCAAGGGTCTTCTTTTTCTAGTTTAAAAAACTGAATATATTCTAAGAATACTATCCAAAAGGCAGCCTCACGAGTTGGATCTTCTTTGGTGTCTGGGGAAAGAGAGAAGAGATTGTAAAGCTTATGAACACAAATCACAACTTCTACCATAAGATCAGCTTATTTTAAGAAATCATCCCCCTCGCTAATAAGAATTAGCATTCTTCATCTTTAAAAGATGTTGTTTTAGAGCAGGGGTGTCTAACCTTGGCAACTTTAAGACCTGTGGACTTCAACTTCCAGAATTGCTCAGCCAGTCTGGGGGTTGAAGTCCCCAGGTCTTACTGGCTAGGAGATTCTGGGAGTTGAAGTCCACAAGTCTTAATGGCTGGAGGATTCTGGGAGTTGAAGTCCACAAGTCTAACTGGCTGGGGAATTCTGGAAGTTGAAGTCCCCAAATCTTACAGGCACGGGAACTCTGGGAGTAATAGTCCACAAGTCTGACTGGCAGAAGAATTCTGGGAGTTGAAGTCCACAAGTCTTAATGGCTGAAGGATTCTGGGAGTTGAAGTCCACAAGTCTTACTGGCTGGGAGATTCTGGGAGTTGAAGTCCACATGTCTTACTGGCTGGGGAATTCTGGGAGATGAAGTCCACAAATCTTAATTTGCCAAAGTTGGACACCCATGTTTTAGAGGAAAGCTGAGAAATAAGCTCTAATTTAAAAAACCAGCAGGGCCCCATGTAAATGAAGTCAGTAACAATCTTTTACACCTCCTACACTGTAGGAATTCATTTTACATCTTTCTTTTGGTAAACTAAGTTTATCTTTTGTTTCCAGCCAGCTTCTGACAAGCAAAGTGAATGGGGGAAGCCAGATCTGCTTAACAACCTGATTCACTGAACAACAGCAAAGATTTGCCTAACAACCGTGGTAAAAATAGGTTGGATATGACCAGTGGTGGAATTCAAATAGGTGAACAACCGGTTCTCTGTTTAGATGCCACTTCCGGAAGTCCATTCTGGGCCTGGGCAACCAAAAATTAGCTACCGGTTCTGCTGAAGTGGTGCGAACTGGCTGAATCCCACCACTGGGTGAGACTCACTTAGCAACCACCTTGCTTAGTGATGGAAATTCTGGTACCAATTATGGTTCTAAGTCAAGAATTACCTGTACAAGCAGAGCCAGTTAGTTTATAGCAGGGGTAGGCAACCTTGGCTCTTTTATGCCTCGTGGACTTCAACTCCCAGAATTCCTGAGCCAGCATGGCTCAGTTTGGAAACCTCTCCCTTTCACCTCAGGGTGGCTGGCTCAGGGATTCTGGGAGTTGAAGTCCACGAGGCATAAAAGAGCCAAGGTTGCCTACTCCTGTTTTATAGTGTCAAAAATCAGAAGTTTGGTAGCACCTTTTCCAGCTAAACAATTTCATTGAAAGACTTCGGGAGCTGCAGCTCACTTCACTGAATGCATAAAGTGATCAGATTGATAGTAACAGCAATAGCTTTCAGACTTATATACCATTCCATAATGATTTACAGCACTCTCTGAGCGGTTTACAAATGCCAGCCTATTGTCCCCAACACTCTGGGTCCTCATTTGACCGACCTCAGAAGGATGGAAGCCTGAGTCAACCTCAAGCCGGTCAGAATCAAATTCCTGGCAGTGGGAAGAGTTAGCCTGCAATGCTGCATTCTAACTTCTGTGCCACCACCGCTCCTGGTGATGTAAGATACATTTAAATTTAAAGGCCATGTTTCAATATACATATATCAGTCTAAACCAGTGTTTCTCAACCTTGGCAACTTGAAGATGTGTGGACTTCAATTCCCAGCATACTGGTTGAGGGATTCTGGGAATTTTAAGTCCAGAGACCTTACAGTTGCCAAGGTTGAGAAATACCGGTCTAGACCAGGGGTAGGCAACCTTGGCTCTTTTATGACTCGTGGACTTCAACTCCCAGAATTCCTGAGCCAGCATGGCTCAGCATGGCAACCTCGCCCTTTCCCCTCAGCATGGCTGACTCAGGAATTCTGGGAGTTGAAGTCCACGAGTCATAAAAGAGCCAAGGTCGCCTACCCCTGGTCTAGACACTCTATACATCCAACGAAGTGAGGTCACAAAAGCTTATGCATTATAAAATTGGTGAGCTGGAAAAGGTGCCACCAGGCCTCCTGCTGCTTTGATTCTAGTGATCACTGAGATGGAGAGGAAAAAAGAACAAAACCAAGCAAAACAACTGGGAAGAGTTTGTGTGTTTGTGTGCAACCATGTGTACGTATTGAGGAATTTGCACCCTATGCTGAGAATGCTAACTTTTAAATGCAAGGGCTGTTTACATAACAGAGCCAAGTCCGTATGTGTGTAGAATACAAAGCAGGTAGATCTGCTGATCCTGGTATCCATGCCTGAGTGCAGGCAGCATTATCACCATGGCTCTTTCTATCACTCCAGTGCACCCAATGCACCCAGAGCAGGGTGATTACGATTAAAGATTAAATGATGTTTAAACAAGGCTTTCGTCTAAAGAGCAGAAAAAATGCTTGCTAGCTATAACTTGACAACTTTGGTGGCAAAGTCACGTTATTTATTTATTTATTTTATTTTTAAAATTTATAAGCCGCCCCACTCCCGAAGGACTCTGGGCGGCTAACAGTAAAAAATACATAAAACATAACAAAACAAACAATGCAAAGACAGTCATCCAGGGGTCAGGTTTTATAAACCCCAGGCCTACCGGAAAAGCCAGGTCTTAAGTAGCTTACGGAAGACCAACAGGGTGGGAGCGGTCCTAATCTCTGGGGGGAGCTGGTTCCAAAGCGTGGGCGCCATCACAGAGAAGGCCCTCCTCCACGGCCCCGCCAAATGGCACTTCACTGCTTGGCCAACGGGGCCTGAAGGAGGCCCAGCCTGTGGGATCTAACCGGACGTAAGGAACTATGAGGTAGTAGGCGGTCTCGCAAATAGCCTGGCTCTGAGCCATATAGGGCTTTAAAGGTAATGACCAACATTTTGAATTGGACCCGAAGACCAATAGGCAACCAGTGCAGCTCACGGAGGATAGGTGTAACGTGGGTGTATCTATAAAAAGAGAATCCCTCAGCTGGAGTACAGTTAGGTAAGAAAAAACAACAACTGCTCTCTCTCGCTTGCATACAGATAGTCCTTGACTTACAACAATTCATTTAATGACCGTTCAAAATTACATCGTCATTGAAAAAAGTGACTTACGACCATTTTTCACATTTACAACCATTGCAGCATCCCCATGGTCACGTGATCAAAATTCAGAGGCTTCCCAACTGACTCACACTTATGATGGCTGAAGTGTCCTGGGGTCATGCGATCCTTTTTGTGACCTCCTGACAAAGACAACGGGGAAGCCAGATTCATTTAAACAACAGTGTTACTCACTTATCAACTGCAGGGATTCACTTAACAACCGTGATTAAAAAAAATTGGGGAAAACTCACTTCACAAACGTCTCACCTAAGCTACAGGTGAGATCATAAGTCGAGGGCCACCTGTATTATATGAAAAATGTTTGGAAGAGAGCCTTGGAGCAGATCGTAAGGTGATCTTTGGGAATTTAATTATGTGATCCACCTATTTCGCCTACCCAACTCATAATTTTATTACAGGTAGTCCTCAACTTACAGCCATTCATTTAGCAGCCAAAGTTGCAACGGCATTCAAAGAAGTGACTTACAGCTGATCTTTGCACTTACGCCTGCTGCAGCTTCCCTACTGTTGTAAGTTGAGGACCACCTGTAGATGGCTTTGGAAGATTGCCAATGGCCATCACATGAGCCCCAAGACATTACAACTGTCATACATACATACATGCTAATTGCCAAGCCCCCCAATTTTGATCCCACGAAGCTTGTAGAAACTTCTGCCTTTTAATAAAACTGGTTAATTGGAAAAAAAAATTTTTGTTTTTCTGCTACCTCTGCAATGCACAAACCTTTCTTCTGCCCAATACATTCTGTTGAAAATTAGCTACTTGATTCACATTTAACAAACGTACTTCAAAAGACTTTATTTCATTAGCCTTATGACCATTTATATTCACAGCTAATAAAAACCTTTTATTAAAAAAGAAGTTTGAAATGTTCAGTGGAATTAATATTTGTGATTAATATTTATATGTTACTTATATGTAAGGGTGTAGGTCTATACATATGTTGAATATAGTATGTTTAAATGTGTGTTATGTATTCGTACACTTTGAGAGCAAGCAACTAAATTTCATTTTTAATGTGTGTCGTTGTGCCCACAGTAAAAAATGACAATAAAGTTTATCTAATCTAATCTAGAATATATGAAACTAGGTTACGGCTGAATGCACTGGGTGAATTAAGGTAAAAATCAGGTAGTCCTCGACTTACGACTAATCACTTAGTGACCGGTTGAAGTTACAACAGGCCCATCAGAAGCTACTTATGATCCAATTCAAAGTTATGACGCCCTGCAGTCACAGTTGCATTCTGGACTCTGGGGCACCCTGTATGTAGTTACTTGACTCTGATTTTCAACATTTCTTTTATGGTTTCCGACATTTAATTCCAGTTTTTGGGCGGCGGGGGGGGGGACACCCACTGGATAAAGTTGATTCACTGTAACAACTGCAGCACTCATTTAATGACTGCTGCAAAAAAAAGTCATAAAATGGAGTCTGGTTACACAGTGACCTGCTTAAAGGCTGCAAGGACTTGTGATTGTAATTCTGGGTTCAATTATGGTCGTAAGCCGAGGACTACCTACACGGTGGCATCGTATGTCGAAAGGTCCTTTCAGCAGAAGGAAAAGCACCAAATGTCTTACAGCCACTCAGAGGTTCACAGTATTTATGACAACATAAGCTAGCGTAGATCCGGGCATCTGAGTAACGGCAATTATTTAGAATGGAAGGATACAATGAATAATTTATTTGTTTTTTCCTGTGGCAATTCTCTCTTCAGAGCTATCTCTGTGCAAATAATCCGGCCAAGACTTCAATTACACTTTGCTGATTTTGCTAAGAACAGAAATGCGAGGCCTGAGCTAAACGAACGGAGAAGGCGCGGGAAAAATACACACCTTAATCCATAGTTTTGCCAAGTTGAGTACATAT